TATCATGGCGGCCCCCCCCCCCCCCGCCACTGCACCCAAACCCTTCCGGTACAACTCCATTTCTCACCTCCTTCCAAAACCAGTAACAGCAGCTTCACTTTTCTTCCCACCAATTAGACACCAAAGCTTTTTACACTATGGAACAAAAGTTCCAAGAAAAACAAGCCTTGCTGTATGTTTTGTAGTTGAAGATCAAACAAAACCGAGCAGTGCCCATATCGAGAATCAACAAGAAGAGGTGCCTAAAGATGTTAATGAAAATCAGATCTCGACACCTCGCGTGGCAGAAAGATTGGAAAGAAAGAGAAAGGAAAGAGTTACTTATTTGATTGCTGCTGTTATGTCTAGTCTTGGGATTACTTCCATGGCTGTTATGGCTGTTTATTACAGATTTTATTGGCTTGAGGCACCTTCCTTTCATTCCTGTCTTAAATCTAGAGTATTCTTGAACCAGCTTTCAGCTTGTATAGGCTCTAAAATTTGTGTATGGCAACAGGGAGGGGAAGTGCCCTTGTCTGAAATGTTTGGTACATTTGCTCTTTCAGTAGGTGCTGCTGTAAGTATCAATTTCTTTAGCAATTTGGGCTATTTCTGAAAAATTATTTATTGGGTTTCCTTTCTTGAGGCTAAATTTGAAGTTTTGTTGTTTTTAGGTGGGGATGGAATTTTGGGCGAGATGGGCTCATAGAGCACTTTGGCATGCTTCTTTGTGGCATATGCATGAGGTAATGCTAATGCTATCCAACTCCTAGCTTTGTTTCCATGAAAACGCAAGAAGAGTTCAAATTTTTTTAAGACAAGAAACAATCAAGCTGAGTTCTTTGGTAATAAAAAGTTGTCCCTGTTGCAGTCTCACCATAGACCTAGAGATGGGCCGTTTGAGCTAAACGATGTTTTTGCCATAACCAATGCAGTCCCAGCAATTTCCCTTCTCTCCTATGGTTTCTTCAACAAGGGCCTTGTACCTGGTCTTTGTTTTGGTGCTGTAAGTCTCACCGTCTTTCCTTTCTCTCTCAAATCTTTCTTGGTGCGCTACCGACCTTGCCAATTTTATATTGCCGTTCCTTGATTGACTGGTGAAAAATTAATTAAGCTCTTAAGTATATGACTATTGACTAGAATATCATAATCTAATTCCCAAACTCACCCTCTGTTTTGGTTGACTTGGTTCATCAGGGTCTTGGAATTACAGTGTTTGGGATAGCCTATATGTTTGTCCATGATGGCCTTGTTCACAAGAGATTCCCAGTGGGGCCCATTGCGGATGTCCCATACTTCAGAAAGGTAGCAGCAGCTCACAAGGTAAATATAAAAATATGCCACCATTCATTGTTTTTTTGAGAATCACATGATGCCTTTGTTTGCTGGGTTCCAAAAATCTGACAATCAAGATATTCACTGTTGATTTTGATGTTGATTTTAGATCCACCACTCGGACAAATTCAATGGTGTCCCATATGGGTTGTTTCTAGGACCTAGGGTGAGTTTCCAGGACATTCTCCTATCTTTAAGATTGTGATGATATTCTTGTACAGCTAAACCACTCTAATTAAATTCGGCCCGCCCGGCAGCTCGTCCTCCGTTTCGAGTTTAATAACTACATAAGAAATATTGGTGGGAGGGAAACTAAACCTGCAAATATGTATATTTGCTGTGCAGGAAATTGAGGAAGTTGGAGGCCGTGAAGAATTGGAAAGGGAGATAAGTAGGAGAACCAAATCATCCAAGGAGTTGTGATTAGTTAATCTGTCAAATTGGGAACAATTTTGGATTAATTCTCAATGTTAGAGACTCGGCAAAGTCATCGATGACAAAATATTTCGAGTTTGGTTGGTATTTTCATGCCCCACAAGAAGAAAATAGATATGTAGGATGAGCATATTCAATGTGGGAACTCTGTAGTAAAAATATAAGAACGTTGCGAAAATATTCATTTCTCATACTGTTGTTATAGTATCCCACTCATGTGTGACCCTGAAATGATTGTTTATCGAAGCTTAAGCTTGTAAATGTGTGTGCTGTACAGATCTCCTATTGACAGAAATGAGAGAAATACTTCTGCTGTACTTGATTCAGCACCTAATCTTTATCCTCACCACTTTGTTTTCCTTTCTTCGAGTAACAGAAAAGGGAGAATTAAAGATAAGTTTATCATTCAACAAAAAAAAAAAATCCCTTTTTTTCTTGTTAATGCCTAGTGGAATTTAAGATAAACGAGTACGTCCCCATTCACCATGTGCATACACTATATCATTCATATGTGGTGTGCTTGAGTAAGTGCAGTCGGCAGGAGACTACTTTCTGATCAAGAAAGGCAAATGGTAGGCCCAGACGACCACTTCCTTTAACACTCGTTGGTAAACTTCGAAGAGAAATGTATCTTCGAAAACTAGAAAAATTAGTAATAATTAAAAGGTGATCTCTACACCTCAAATTCAAAACGGGTATATTTCACCATCAAACCTCCAACCTTACAAAGTATCAAAACCCGATTCATGTATTTATCTAACAAAAACTGGTGTCATGTATTAAAAAGATTAATCTATGTTGATAAAAATAATAATAATGCTGTTTTGATAAATAAAAACATTAATAATCTTTTTATCCAGGTCAATTAATCACAAGTCAATCTAAAATTTTAATTAAATCAAATTGAATTAATTTTTTTATTTTATTTTTTTTCAATTCAAACAAGTCTAATCTTATATAAACTAAGCCTTATACCAACCTACTAGACAGGGTAGAGTTTATATCCTAACAATGTTAATTAGCTACAAGAATCCTTGAATGGGTCATACCAATGGAGTTGCATGATTTTTATTGTTTTGGATTTGAAGAATTTTGACCACATGTTGCTGGTCTTCTTGTGTTTTTTAATGCAAGAAACAAAAATAAATAAGTTTTTTTTCCTGCTTTCAATTTATTGAATTTTGAAAAATTATAACCGAATACTGAAATAATATCAAATAATCCCATAAGTTTTTGCAAAAACCTGAAACCATAGACACTAACTAAGTAGTTACTCTTGACTGAATCTGAAATCACAGCACTAAAATATAATATTGTATAATTAGGATATTTAAGCTCCTCATTCAAAAATCTACCTCCATAATTGTCCAAGTTTTCTGCAAACTCAATAAATGAGGTTGTGTTGGTTAATATATGATAATATAAATGATAAATATGGAAGTGCCATGAATATTTTTTGCTCGTGGGATGTGTACATTTGATGGTTTTGGAATGGATTTTATTTTTTAAAATCAAGAGGCACAATAAAAAACATGTTTTTCTTGTCTTTACTCCTTTTTTTTTTCAAAACAGTAATCAAACACTAAGATTTAAGTATTTTCTAAACTATGCATTAGATTAAAAGGATATTTAGTATTATAGTTGTATTATTTTCCAACTAAAAAATACTTTGAAAAATAAAATAACCTCTCCAACACCAACAAACAATCACCAAATGTGAAAATTGTTTTAAAAAAATCAATAAATAACTATAACTAACGGTTTACATTATTATAAAAGATGAAGCACAATCACTTTTTTTTTTTTTTGAATTTGTTGACATACAGTTGAAGCTTTCATCACCCACCTTGATGGTGGTGCTAGAGAGGGTGTGAACAATGACACACGTCCAGAACTAGTGTGTATAGAAATCACCCCATCAAGCTTTGGTGAGTGGTGATGACTCAGCTCCTCGTAGCCTCCATTGTTGATTACTGCATGATCTTTCGTCCCAGAAGTTTCCAATAATCTTGGTCATAGGCTACGTGTTAACTCTGCAATAATGGCCCATCTTGCTGACCCAACTCTTCCTCCAAAGAAAACACGGAAAATGTGATCTTAGTGACCCAAGCACTTGATTCTAAGGCTAGTGGAGGATGGAGACAGAGACTCACACTAACAGTTCTCTGTGCGTTGACATCATCTTCTTACACCAGTCAACTGCTTGGGAGCATAAGCATCACACGTAGTTATAATCTCATTAGTTTAATCACAAAGGTAAAATATTAAAAAAACATATTCCCTTTGGATCAAACCGATCAAAGGATGAACAGTTAGATTATAAAATATAGGTTCCGGCATCGTCTTTGATTGGTTTAGCCCAACAGTTAACGCCTTCTCTTTCTTAATTTGATTATTGACCTTAGCCTAAAAAGACGCACCAAATCCGACGGAGCCCTTTGCTATCTTCGACTAATCATCCTTCTAATTTATTTATCTTAGATGTATATCGTTCAAGTTTAATTTATAGAAACAAATCCTTTCATTAAAAGAATTTCTTCAAATCTTCTAATTAATTTGTTGAAATTTTCACGTTTCCTATTTTAGCATTATTCCTAATTGTACTTCACTTTCTTTATGTTGATTTTTTTTTCATTTTCCATAATTAAAGGCAATAATAAATATTTTTCGCTATTGAAACCTCCTTTAGTTTTTTTGTTTTTCTTACCGCAATTAAAGGCAATTACAAGTAGTTTCCTAATTGGACTTCACCTTCTTTTCAAAGATCCACAACTAATGAAAATAATTAATATCTTTTGTATTTTTATTTTAGTGAATATTTGTTAAATAAGTGTTATTTTTATTCGACAACCAATCAAAAAAAGGATAGCATGTGCATTAAAAGAGGAAATAGCTTCAATTTTTCATCTACCAAAACCACCTTTTATTCTGCTGTCTTTTCGTAGCCTGAAGTTTGCCAAACTACTTGATTTTGATATCTGTTTTGGACAGCAGAAATTAACATCTTTACAACACAGAAAAACCTCATGACAACACGCAGAGACTGTGCAGCACAGTGCCACAGAGCTTTCAAAAGTGGTTCCATGGCTAGTAACTTCGCTGGATTGCCGAGTTCCAGAGTCAACACAATGGCCATGGAGAAGGGGATCCAACCAAATTAATTTTTGCACATTGAGTGTGTGTGTGTGAGAGAGAGAGAGAGAGAGATTAGTAATTTTTGCTCTGAAATTAATTACGGGATTGTTTCATACCAATTTCTTCAAATCTTTCAGCAATCACTAATCTGAAGAGATTCAATAAGGGCGTGTTCGTACTCAATGTTTCAACTGGAGTTTGACAGCTCGGAAAGCTACCTTGGCCGTCAATTTCATTGAAGCGTCGAGAGGAGAGTGATCTAAGTCGAGACTTCAGGGTCAGGGGAACCATTCGCGTGAAGGGCTTTCCATGCGTGGGCGTACATGACAAGCAGATAAAAGCATAGGTTCACAGAACTTAGAATACCTAACAGCATGTAATATTTGTCCAGATGACTTGTATTCAGAGTGTCATGAAACCAGCTGCCTGACAAAGTAAGAACAAGTGCCGCACTCAGGAACTTCCCAACGCCAATTGCAGACTCGTTGAATGGCGATTCATAATGTTCCAAAGATTCATCTACATGGATATTATAAAAATCAGCTAAGCCATCAGCAACCAGTCCTTCTACGAGTCCTCTCAGGAAAAACTGTGGAACCAGCCATACTGTGCTCATTGGAAATGGTTCAGCATCTCCACGTGTTTTAATAAGATTCAATCTACGAGTCTCAACCAGCATTGATACCATGCAGCAGATTATAGAGCACGCTATCCCAATTGCAATTCTCACAAGTCCAACACGATGCTTCAGAAGTTTTTGAATCCATATCGGTCTAACATGATGCATCGGAAGTTTTTTAATCCATCCGGATACGAAAAAGTCATGGACGTATGTAACTATAACTGTTACGAAACCCTGAAGTAGAAACAGAACATTTATAGACAAAACCGGATCAGGATCGAGGCTTTCACTTTGCACAACAAAGAAAGTCGTACCCGTTGCCAGAACGAGGCCGTGGATGGGGAGTGCTGTCCACATAGGAAGCAATGCAAGAAGTTGCTTTACTCGCTGCACATCACGGACTGGGAAAAGTCTCCCGTTTTGCTCCTGTTCTTCAGCTGAGAGGGACTCGGATGTCTCTAAAAGAGCAGCTTTGTCCAGCCACCTGTGTACACCACCTCAGAAGATCAGATCAGAAAAGAAAAGAAAAGAAAGAGAGCAGAGGTGATACAGGGAAAGAAAAAGTGATAGTACTGTCACTACTTGGACCTTGGGGAAGGGCCTGGTTTGCAACTACAAGGCTTACACATGCAATTCTAAGTTGGACTTGTTCTCCCCCCTACCCAAAGGGAAATCATGGTGGCATATAGATCCATAAACACTTTATATATCTCATCCAAATTCCCATAACCCATTGAAATGGGCTACGGGGATCACAATACTACACCAACCTGATTATTCCAATGTCGGGCAATAGAAGCAATCCACCACTATCATTTAGATAGTAGTCATTGGGTTCACGAGCGTGTTGCAGGTGACGCTTCACAAAAGCTGCCTTAAGAACTCTATGAATAACGATAAGGGGGCTTCCAGTTGGTTTGTCGGGGTAGTAAGAGCTTTTTCCTAACGCAAAGGTTAAACAAGCCAATGTCATAACCGAAAATGAAATTGCAGAAGTCATCATTCTCTGATCAGAAAGTGATCTGGCCATTATCACAGACGAGACAGTGCCCACCGTTGAAGCAATACGCCACCAAAATTTTCTTCGAACCTCAGCTTTGTCATAATCTATACTGATGTCTGGCTTACTAGGTACCTCGTCAGCTTGGTCCTTATCTGCGTTAAGGTTAGGTTTATGCTCGACTAATTGATCACGTAGAAATGCTTTTAAACAAGGATCCTGACTTGCCCTGCCCACAGTTGCTAGTACCATCATCAGATAAAGTAGTATAATCCCGGTGGAGGATGAATTGCCCCAGAACCGGCTAGCAAGAAACCATAGCAACAGTCCCTGCAGCAAAATGGACGTTTAATTTGTTGCAAATTAATGACTATAAATTAAAGCACTAAAAAATCGATCGAAAATAATAGGAATATTAAAAAAGAAAATTCGTTATAGCTGTTTTCATTTGAAAACCAAACAAATAAAAGCTAATTTATATACTATTCGCCTAAATTTGTCATATAATTGCTAGTGTTGACAGAGAATATCAACTTTTTAGCATTTACAAGAATTTTTTAAGCTGGAAACTCAAATAATATATGAACTCAATAACTCCTCTCTTTTTTCTTTTTGGATAATATGAACTCAGTAACTTATGTAAAGTTAATTACAAGGATTACTATACTAAAAAAGTTGGGGTGCGACTCACTCCTCCTTCAATGTGAGGCCTCCCTTTTTGTTTCATATTCTCTATTTTTTTTCATTTTCTCTCTATTTTTTTTCATTTTATGTTTCATTTTATTTTTTTTATTCTAGGTTTTTTTATTAGTTGTTTGAGATTTTAAGTTATCTTTAAATTAATCAAATCAACTAGGTCAAGTTAAGATAATTTTTACATAGTTTGATTTTTAATTTAAACCAGACAATAGTAAAATCGTAAGATTTTAAGATGAATATATCTATTCGAGTTTAATATAAATATCAAATAATTTTTTATAGGTTAAAAATTTTTAGTTATAAAATTTTAAAAAAAATTTAGTTATATTAAAAAAAATAAAATTATTTCACCTATAGCGTACTACAATCATATTCACACTAAATAATAAAGATGAACACCTCTAGAAAACAATTGACAACATAAAAGAAAAATTCCACATCTAAAATGATTTTCATTGACTAGATTTTATTAAATAAGTTAGACCAGGTTTTGCAGATTTGATTCCTTGCCTTGCTCTTATCTGGGCATGCCTTTGGGATCCATTTCTAAAAGGTTGTCTACATGGAAGCCTATTATTGAGAATTTTATAAGAAAGTTAAGGAAGTGGAGAGGTTATATGCCTAGTATGCAAGACGTATTTGTCTAATCAAAAGTGTTTTGAGTTCGTTGCCAGTCTATTATATGTCTTCTTTTCTTATATTGAAAAGTATTTATAATATACTAACTTCAATTCAACCAAGATTCTTATGGTCTAGAGTGGTAAAGCAAAAGAAAATTTGCAAGGTGCAGTGATGTATTGTGGTGAAAGTTAGAAAAGAAGGAGGCCTTGAGTTGGGTTTTTTAATGTCTAAAAATATATCCATGCTTTTTAAATGGATATGAAGGCTAAGCTTGTCAAGCCATGCCTTACGAAAACAAGTAACAACCCATTTTTACTCCCCAACTTGCGAGAATGAAATCCCAAAATTACATGGTCATATTTTTCCATTTTGGAAAGATGTTTTGTCAATCTTGGATCCAAACAGTGTTATCAGCTTAGTATTGTGAGAAAACATTAAATTCATGATTGGAGATAGATCCTCCATTCTCTTTTGGTCTAAGTTGTGGATAAGATCAAATGCTTCGCGTAACATTTTCCTTAGGCTTTACCAAATTTCTACTATTCAGAATGGTTTGGTTAATGAGATGGGTCAATAGATGAATGATCATTGGCGCTGGAATTTGGTTTGGCGCAAGAACCTTTTATCTTATGAAGAGCAACAATATCATCAATTGCTATCAATGTTAGAGCCAACGATAATTCAACAAGAAAAAGATGACAAACTCATATGGTCGTATAATTCTGATGGAAACTTCTCAGTTAAGTCTTGTTGTACCCTAATTGATAATACCTCCTCTATAAATGATAGAGTTTCTGAAGCCAATGTTTGGATTAAAAGAGCTCCTCTAAAAGTTCAGGTATTTTTCTGGTTGGCAATCCAAGACAAAGTTAGTACAAGAACTTTTCTCCATCACTGGAATGTTTTGCTTACCACATAAGTTTCATGTGTCTTTTGCAATTTAGATTTGGAAACCTCAGAGCACCTTTTTATACACTGTAACTTTTCTATAAGTGTTTGAATAAAAGTTTTGGATTAGTAGGGTATCTATTATTGTTTGGCAAGCACATTTGACTCACTGCTTTTGCAATGGTCCAAAATGATGCAAGACAAATTTCAAAGATTAGCTTGGAAACTAATTTCTAGTAGTACTACTTGAGTATTTGGTTGTTGAGGAACAAAATTATTTTTCAGAGGGGAACTATAAGTTTGTTTAATTATTTCTTCACCATCCTTTATTAGGTTGCTATTTTGTTGCATATTCTGGATTTAAACTTCATTTATATAAGAAATAACCTCTTAAAATCTTTTGATGACATTAAATTGTGGTGTAATAAGAAATTTTAGATAGTTTCTTTGTTGTTTGCTGTAATAGGTCAATTTTTTTCTTTTTTTTTCTAAGTTTTTTTTTTCATATTTTTATATTTTACTGTAGCTATTAACTTTATGGTCTTTTCAATATACTTCCGATGATTATTGAAAAAAAGCAAGACGAGGTTTTGAATATTTTCTATTATTTTTTTTCTTCAAAAGGGTATTAAATTTATATGAAACAAACTCGATACAAATTTAAGTATAAGAATAGAGTGAAACTTCAAGCATATATATATATATATATATATAATAGAGCGACTTACATATGCATATAAAGCAGTGCTGAAAACTATTGCTTTATAAGGTCCTGTGTAGGCATCGGCTATGTTAGCAATGAGAAAAATGCAAATGACATGTAAACCTTCTTGAACATTCAAAGCAATAGCAGCAAGTGGAAGCGGTTGCCCCAGATTAATGAAGTAATCCATCCACATAACCACCACAGCATTGTTTACGAAGCTGTGGCTAAAAAACAAACCCAAAAAAAATTGTTTACGAAGCTGTGGCTAGAAATCAAACCTAAAAACATTTTGAAACAAAGCTTGATGAGCATGTTAATCTCCACTCAAATAAGACTAATTAGCTGAACATGATCAGGAAACATCACCAAGGATGAAGAAGACGGCCTTCGTAAAATAGACATGAAGTTTGACCCAACCAGTTACTCTACAGTTGAAAAACCATGACGGACGCACCAGTTGAAAGTTGATAATAATTGATATAAGGTTCCTTTCTACAGAAGTAGCCATTTCACCTAAAAATGCAAGATTATATTATTATATAGTTTAGATGAAGAGAAATTGAGGAACACAGGAAATGTCAAGGACTAAGCCGTTGCTCACAAACTACTTACACGGTCAATTTCTTCTGTTTCGCTATATGAAGTTGGCTCACAGCACCAGGACTAAGCCGTTGCTCACAAACTTGCATGACCGGCTCAGCCTTGAAACAATGTTGCTCGCTCTTCAACACATAATGGAATACTTAATCATACAGACTTTGATGTTGTATTTTGATTTGACATCAATCGACTCGTGGTAGAATATTATTATTATAAGAACACTTAAAACATGTAGGAATATAAATATAGCTTTCTTTACAAATCACTGAGGATTGTTACAGTGACTTTTCCAAATGTCGTACCAATGTTCTTCTCAAGTTGATTATGACGTCGATCCGCATCTCCTTCTCTTAATAAGAAAAAGGGATTTGCAGAGACTCTCTTCTCTTTCAAGCTTTGATTTCGGTAGATATGAAGAAGTGTAATCCTTCCCCGAAGAAGGTATGCTCCTGCCCTCCAGACTTAACTCTCTTAGATTAATCTTTGTTCTTCAAAATCTGAAATCTCTGAACTACAAATGGCTTCAACACCTCACCTCCCTTGGAGACCTCAAAATTGAATTCCGCCTTTACTCCGATCCATCCCTCTTCACCTGCTTTTTTGCGTATCAATTATTGCCCCTTCTAGAAGAAAGATGTGAACAGGAAACAGGAGAAGACTGCCACAGGATTTTTTACTGAAATTTGCAAACGTTCACGTGGCCAGGTGGCCGACGCATATTAAAAAGACAATATCATTTTTAGAACCAAATAATTATCACAAGAAACCATTATAGAACGACAAATTCACCCTAAATTAAAAGATGCTATAAGAATTTTCAGTTTAAAAATAATGGAATCATTGCTTTGTTATAATTAAGTTAAATTTTATTTTTAAGGATATTAAAGTAAATTCACTATATAAAAATGAATCATGTAAAAATATCAAATATACCCTTGGTCCAGTTCAAATGGTTTTTTTTTTATGAGCAGGAATATAATTACATTATTATTAGAGTCCAAGGTGAATATTTGACCACGAGATTTTGTTTCTGTTAATAGTATTTTTCACTTTCCGACAAACCAAGATTTGTGCAAGGGACACTCAACAATCATCACAATTTTCAATCCCTTCGTTTCAATGCCTCCTCCCCTTTCTACTCATGCAATATCCAACACGTCGCAACAAAGACTTGTGGTATTGACAAATTCCTCGAAAAGAAAATAGAAAAACATATTACCTTGCCTAGATTATTAGATACTGACCAACAAATTGATGGATAGTTATAAAATTTGGTGGATTTCATAAGCGAGTTCAAGCTTTAATTTATCCACTTGGATTCAATCATAGTTGTTTTAATATATTTTAATAAAAAAACTAAAATGGTGTTGTTTTGAAAGAAAAAGAAATTAAATCGTGTTTCATTTAAATTTTAACTGGATTAATTAAATTAGAAGTTAATTTTTAAAGTTGATGTAATTTAATTGAATTTCTATTTTTTTTTAATTTTATCCT